CTCCGAGACGGGAGACACCGGCTCTTGAGTGCCGGTCTGGTTGTTGGCCGACTGGTCCGCGCCAGCGGTGGCCGTCTCTGTGGTCGAAGTCATGGCTGTTCTCTGCAATCAAATCCATGCCATAAGTCTCGTGCAAAGGAGTTCACAGACAGTGATAGCTCGTGACAGATAGTAAGACAGATAAAGAGACAGAGGTTTTGGGTATACATTGAGTGCAACTCCAGTCAAATGTCTTGACAGGCAATGTCTGGGCTTTAGCGGTGGTGCCGTCACTCCGGCCGTCACCGACAATCACTGACAGTTCATAATTACCTTAATATGGATGAATTGGATCCGTTTGAAGTGGTGATTGAGTGATGGGTGCAACGGCTCAGCACTACAGAGTATTATACAACTGAATGGTATTTAATGTGTGAATAGTGTGTGAAATGGCGACAACACTATACAGTCGAGTCTAATGTGTATCCAATGCTTAACGATATGCAAACTCTATGCACTGCACACACACTGCTATACTATGGCTATGGCTCGAGTGCTATAGTCTTATACACTGCACAATCCCTACACACCAGCGCTATTACAGTCAGTGCTCACCACCACTACTACTGACGGTATATTCGCAACTGACTGTACTGTTCGTCAGTGCTGTCTAATGTAGTGTAAGTACAGTGAACTGAGTCACAGAATGAATCAATGGTTGGCGGTATGAATGCAACAGTAGGGGCAGAGAGAGCGAGGCATCGACTATGCGCTGACTGACTGTGAGTCTGACTGCACTGTACGGCAGTCTAAACGTGTATTTTTTGAAAGTCAACCCAAACTGCACATTGAGTGCCACTCCCGACTCAACAATGCAGTCATGTTAGCGCAAAATGCCACTCATTGGTGCATACATAGGCTACTAGTGCTCATACACTGCCAGCTCATACACCATACACAGCGACCAGTAGTCATAGCAGTGCTCTATTGCCTGTCATTTTGGCGCTTTTGTTGAGTCTTACCACTCATCTAAACCTCCCGGTTATGCCATGGGATGGGATACGGGATCACATCCATAGGCGACTCCATCTCCCCCTCCCGTCGCTATCAAACCCTAATCTAATGATTAGCTCATTATATTAAACCCTTAGAAATCTC